TTTTTTTATAATTTTGATCCATAAGGAAGGCGACACTTTTTAAGTGAACATGGTATTTCGGTTTAGTGCAAAATTGGAACCTTAGCACAGCGATATGGTTGCGAACGGAATTTATCCAACTTTCGGCCTTGTGAGATATGTATGAACACTTACGGGATCTTCTTGATTGTGAACCTGATTATTGTGAGTCATATTAGTTCCATGGTGTATAATTGTATTAATCAAGACTTGTAAAAACCTTTCTTAAACCAGAGTCGAGTTTAATTAAAACTTTGTAATGAGACATTTCATAATATAAGCGACCTAATTTTATTGGCCTTACTTTAGGGACCTTATTCAACTGAATAAGGACAGTCAAGGTATATGGATGTCTTATCACATATCTTTTTAGTCAGCATCGACTTCAGCTTTGGATAGGGCATTACTGTAATTCACAATTGCTTTTTTTTTTTTGCATTACCATGTTCAGCGATTGGCTTTAAAACTCTCCCCACTTTGTCGCCCAATCTCGTTTTGTGTCCTCTACATGAATTTACTTCGAGTTGTGATTGGTTCACTGGTTTGCCTGTGTACTTTGTGATAAGCCGGTGCTACTGTGGTTTTGGTTTTACGACACTCAACTGAAAATTGTTGTAACGCCAGTTTTATCAAATTGGTGTCGACTAGCCAAAACGTCCAGTATGGATTTATTGGAAACCATTCCGGCCAACTGAAACCGTCGGTGTTTCATAGATCCTCTTTCAGTGGAATATAATGTTGACTTTTTAACTGTTTACTCTGTTTTTTGATGTCTATTTATAGATCATCCTAAGATCACTGTACATCCTGTAAGAGACACAAAAACAGAAGGCGATAACCTGACTTTATCTTGTAACGTGACGGGAAATCCAGTACCAACAATATCATGGACCAGAGATAGATCTCTTATAGATACAAACGTCAACTCCAGGATCAGTTTTTCGGCAGACAAGAAGCAGTTGACAATAATGAATGTGAACAGGAGAGACAGCGGAGAATATCGATGTGTGGCGAGGAACAGCCTCGGAAACGATACCTCCAATGTTTCTTCTGTGGACATCCA